CATTGGGAGAAGTAGTTCAAAATATAAAGGAAGCAGTAATGTTTCTAATCAGGCTGCATTTGGCGCATCAGGTGCGGAAAAGACATTTTCCGCAAAAGTTAGGAACTGTTTTCTACAGTGCGAAAAAAGGAAAACAACAATATATTGTAACAATTGAAATCATATTCTTTAATAACAAAAAACGTGAACATAATTAATTATTATAATTAATAACAAAGATTTATGGCGGTTGACAAAATCCGTTAGGAAAACATGGTGTTACGTTACATGCTACGTATAATTTCGTTGTTGTTTGATATTTGTAAGCAATGATTAAATTTGACACCCGGTGACATTTTTGCCACACGATTAGGCCCTGGTTCTTACGACTCCTTACTACTCAAGAAATTCGAATAGCCTAAGTCAAGCCTATATACGTATATATATATATATAAAGAGAAAATGATCATGGGGAGAAAGGAATATAACAAAAAATAGGAAACTAATGGGCACAATCCGCAAAAAGAAGGAAAGTGGATTCGAGCAGAAAATAGGATAGGTAACCCGAGCGATACGTATTTCTGCTGGTTGGCTTCATCAGGCCTGAAATGAATGCACATATGGAGCTACAAAAGTAGATACACATGCCCATACATCCGGATACGGGTGTAACCTGAGGAAACGAAGATGGAGAGGGAAAAAAGTCACACATCACGCATTTCAAGGTCAAATTGAAAAAATTACAAAATCGCACCTACTAGACCTGTACGTAGGCTTTTAGGGTCATTTGCATTGAGACAAATTAAGAAAAAGTCTGAAAATCAGATCTTTTCGAAGGTTTTTGGGGTCTCTGAGTTCGAATCTGAAGACAGTTTAAATCAGGTCATTTGAAGGTCATATTTAAGTAACATCACTGTACTTTCTCTTTTCAGTCCGTGAGAGGCATGGAGATTCAAGATAATCAAGCACGTCAAAGGGAACTGATATCTACCGCGTCGACCAGATTTAAAGTCAGCGAACCTAAAAACCTTATACTAGATTTGATTTTCACGAGTTTTTCCAATTTGACCTTAAAATGACCTTTAAGCACTCCTCAAATGAAGTTATGTCTATATAAATTTATATCAAGTTTGGACTCAGCGTACTCAGAAATGTATACAGATAACAGTTACCAGATGCCTGATTAGTTGCTCCGTAAACTCCGAAATTTCACCGAAAACTGACCTGCATTCTGTAGGAGGCCAGTAGGAGGTTCCTTTGTAGTCAAATCGTTCAGTTATTATATACAGGGCGGTCCATTCATGTGTGGACGGAATATTACTCATAAACAAATACATTTTGGGAAAAGTTTTTTCTTTTTTTGGTGGTCAATGTTTTCCAGGTCGGGTTGAAAAACAGCATAAGCTGACACTCCACCTTTTCGTCACTGTTCCTTTTAAACCAATTATTTTGTAATCGTGTGACGAATAAAGGCCATTTATTATTATTATTATTATTAAAATCTATTTATGGGATGTTATGCATGACATTTGAGAGCACGTTTCTAAAACATTCGCCATTATACAGGGTGTCCCAATTTCGACCTACATATCAAAGTTGTGATTGTTCAAATGGAATGCCTCAAATTTTATTGCATATTTAGATAAACCAATTCAAAAGAAGAAAATTGATATAACATACTATGGGGTTTTGGTAATTAGCTACTGAGATATAAGGTGTTTCGTCTAGAAAAACCCCTCAGTCTGCCATTTTGAAATTTGGAGTGGTAAATTTTGTATAAAAAAAACTCACATACCTCAGCTTATATCTTGTTTGTTACTTTTTCGAATTTTAATTTTTGCTCATACAGGGTGGTCAAAAACGCAAATTGTAGTTTTTCTCAAAAATGTCAAATGCATCACTCTGTATATTTGTAGAAGTTTGGATTCAATTTATTATAAGGTTTTGTTTGATACTAGACACATAAGAGTTTTTACGGCTATTTTTTCGGTTATTAGCACGTCTTTTATGGAACGGCTTAATTCCCTAAAATATTGCATCATCCTTGGAAACAAATAAATTGTTGATTAGTTACAAACTGTCAAAATTAGCTTTGTGAGCATTATAATAAAAACGTGTTTGAAAATGATTTTTTCTAAATAAGAAATGGTGAATATGCGACGTCCAAAGCCGGAAACATTTTCCACACTACGAGAACGTTTTGAATCTAGTAGAGCAGTGGAATATAATAAAAAATCTATAATTAATCCAAGTGTCACCAATGAGGCGAATCAGTTGGAGGTTCTATTAAAGCTGCAGGAAAATCCCCATTTAAGTGCACGGCAAATTGGAGCAGAAACTGATATATGCAGAACTTCTGTCCAAAGGATTATTCACAAGCGTAGGTACCATCCATATTACCTATTCTTGCATCAAGGCCTAAGGCCCGTATCGTCAGTCGTCCTTAAAATTGTAGGGCGCCTTTATGGCCTCCTTGCTTGTGACAGTTTTCTACTTCTCCGTGTCAAAAATCTATTTTGAGGTAATGTCACAAACATCTATTTGCATCAAATTGTGCGTGCTTTTGAATTATATCATGTTTTATCAGCCTGAAATTTCCTACAATTTAAAAAGAAAACATATCTTCACAATAGGAGAGCACTGACGCTGACACGGGACAAGTGTAATCTAGAAATTTTTGAAGGAGAGAAAGGAGTATGACAATCAAGGAGGCCATAAACACACCCTACAATTGTAGGGACGACTGACGATACGGGCCTTAGTCTTCCGGATTTCGCAGCTCGAACGGAGTTCAGTAGAATAATGCTAAATAAACTGAGTGAAGACACTACTTTCCTGGATAAGGTTCTTTTTAGCGATAAGGCAACTTTTAACAGAATAGATGTTGTCAACAGGGATAACATGCACTATTATGCGATGGAAAACTCTTACTGGGTTAGGCAAATAGATTTCCAAAATAAATGGAGCTTGAATGTTTGAGGAGGAGTTATTGGCAGACAAGTAATCGGGCCTTTCTTTATCGAGAACAGACTAACAGGTACAGAATACTTGAATTTTTTGATCGAGCGTTTGCCTTTGCTTCTGGAGGATGTCAACCTGCAAACTCTGATGCATATGTACTTCCAACATGACGGCGCACCTGCGCATTATCATAATCGTGTGCGTAACTATTTGAACACCTGGAGTAACGATCGTTGGATCGGTCGTGTTGGGCCTATATCTTGGCCTCCTAGATCACCAGATATGACACCGATGGACTTCTTTCTATGGGGCTACGTTAAGCAAGAGGTTTATAGATATCCACCATTTACTCCGGAAAATATAAAGGAAAGGATTAAGGATGCTTTTCTGAAACATAAACCAACACATGCTGAGGGATGTGCAACGGTCATTTATCCAAAGACTACGGCTGTGTATTCAACATGGTGGTGATATTTTCGAGCAGTTTTTGTAGATTAGGTCTTGAGTAATGATAGTTATTTGTTTATGTTGTTGTTATAGTTGTTTTTCCCTATTACGCTTGAAGCCGATTTATCCTGTTCTGATTGTTATTAGTTTTAACGTCAAATCTGAACTCTTAGTGGCAATATAGAACTAGCCCACTGATTTTATCTGAATCAAACCTTATACCAAAAAAAGCTTATAAAAAATTGAATACAAACTTGCACAAATATACAGGGTAATCTATTTTAAATTTTTGAGAACAAGTACAATTCGCGTTTTTGACCACCCTGTATGAGCAAAAAAGAAAATTCGAAAAAGTAACAAATAAGATAAAAGCTGAGGTGTGTAAGTTTTTTTGATACGAAACTTTAAAATCGCGGATTGAGGGGTTGCCGAAATGGACGGTTTTTCCGGACAAAACACCTTACATCTCAGTAGCTAATTACCAAAACTCCATAGTATGTTATATCAATCTTCTTCTTTTGAATTGGTTTATCCAAATATGCAATAAAATTTGAGGCATTCCATTTAAAAAATCCCAACTTTGATATGTAGGTCAAAATTGGGACACCCTGTATAATTGCCAATATTTTAGAAATGTGCCCTCAAATGTTATGTATAACATGCCATAAATAAATTTTCCCAAAATGTATTTGTTTATGAGTAATATTCCGTCCACCCATGGATGGGCCACCCTGTATACATGGAAAATAAAATTGGAGTTTCGTAAGTCGTCCTTATGCGCTCTCCTCCTTTGCGGTTGAAGCAAGTAGAACACCCCATATATAATTCACTCTTTAAATTCTTGAGATGCTAACTACATTTCATAATATTTTAGCAGAATTGCTCCAACATTTAGACTATTGAAACCGTTTTCCAGTCCGCAAGACCATTTCATAGAAGGCAGGTCCCTAGAGTCGCAAGACGGCATTGTTTTGTCTGCAAGAAAATTGCATCCAATCACTAGCAGTGCCAAGACGATGCTGTTTTCTCGATTCACATGCGCAAGGTTGGCCAACCCAAAAGTGAAATATTCCTTGTCACATTATTAACCCGTAATTTTACTTTTGGTTTTTAGCCTCCAGAACACATATCCAAATACAATATCCAAAAACTAGTTTCAATCGCCGACCATCCAACATCAAAAGGCAACCGATATATTCATAAGCCTAGGGACATTTGCATGCATGGGAAACTTCTAAGTTACTAAACATTTCACCAGAATTGCAGACAAACTTGCATGTCGCATGAGAAATCCAACTGATTTAATTTCACGCAGTTGCAAGACATGAAGAATCAGCTGATTTATTAGTGCGTATGTGTATTTGCCTTGCATCTTGCAGACTATGAAAGGGATATAAGAAAAGCTACTAGTTCAAATTTTTATGACTGTCTTACGTCAACTTTTTGAGTAAGCGCGGGACATCATGTATACATATACTAAGTGACATATAAATCCGAACACCCAGTTTAAATGGTTTTATTTTAATAAAATTTTGTATAAGTACTTAATGAAGCATAATAAGTAAATGATAAAAATTTCAAAATGATTGCACTGCTTTAAAGCCATTTGACCTTTAATAATGTGTGGATGCACCCTGATGTGCTACGCATTCTCCAACGCGCCTAGGCATGCTTCTGATCAGGTGGTCAATGTCCTCCTGTGGTATCTCATTTCAGGCAACCACCAACTCCTCTCGAAGTGCTTCTAGAGTCTGAGGAGGACGTTGCAAATTGAGCAATCTCCTACGCATCATATCCCACACGTGCTCAATTGGGGATAAGTCGGGAGATCTTAGTGGCCATGGTAACAATGTGACATCATTATGTTGAAAGAAGTCTATTGTGACTCTTGCAACATGTGGTCGGGCATTATCTTGTTGGAAAGTTGGATCTGCCAGGGTGTCAAGATAGGGTAAAAGATGGGGTTCTAGAACTTCGTGGATATAACGCTGCGCGTTCATGTTACCTCTGATGAAGATTAAAGGTGACCTGGAACCATAAGCTATAGCACCCCAAACCATAACTCCAACAGTGTGATGAACATGTCTTTCAACAAAAAACTGTGGATTCCTCCTTTCACCACGTCGCCTTCTAACCCTGGCACGACCATCGTGCATGCCTAAACAAAATCGAGACTCTTCACTAAAGACAATACTGTTCCATTCCTGATCCCAGAGTGACCGTTGTCTGCACCACTCAAGGCGATTACGTTGGTGTTCTCGAGTTAAAGGGAGGACCCAGTGAGGCCGGTATGAAAACAAGCCAAAACTTCTCATTCGTCCGTAAACACTTCGCATGCCAATAGGTCTTCCGTGTTCTGCAAACCATTCATTTGCAATGGACCTGGTAGTGGAGAAACGGTCTCTTAAGGCCAATAATCTTAGGCGGCGATCTTCACGGTCTGTTGTTCTACGGCGGCGTCCAGTGCCCCTTGCTCTTTGCGTACGGCCTTCTCGAAGCCATGCCTGACAACACCTAACCACAGTGTCTACACTTCTTTGCACTCTAACTGCAATTGCCCGAAAAGAAAGTCCAGCTTCCCGAAGTCCCACTATACGGCCCCTATCACACTCACTAAGTTGACGAAATCGTACAGATCTCCGTACTCTAGGCATCGTAACCGATCGTAAAGGATGTCAAGAACCAAAATCCGCCAACGTTGATTCTTTACTGCTGCTGAAATATTCATTTTTAGAGCGTTAGTGAATAAAAAAAAAGCAGTATAAAAACCGGAATGTCCAACTGATAAGGCTGAAAATTTTTTCACTTGTTATTTACAGTAAGATAAACACATTCACCAACTTTTATTAAAATAAAACCATTTAAACTGGGTGTTCGGATTTATATGTCACTTAGTATATGTATATTCCGCGTAACCTGAACGCATCGGAAGCCAGCAAAGTAAATAGCATAGCAAAAGCACCCCGAATAAAACAGGGTGCTTATCTCTATAAGATCTGTAGACATTCTAACACCCCTACCTCATTAGATATTAATACAATAATGTTCAAGATCTCTTTGTGACCCAAGTCTATATAATACGTGGGAATCCCGCATACAGACGTGTACTCGTGAAACCAATCTAACAATATTTCTGTGCCAGCTATTTTTGTAGCGATAGTAAGCCGTTTGAGCGCGTGCTAGGACGTGCCCCTATGCAGGGCAAAGTTTAGATGCCAAGTCACCCCTCCGAGAACCACCGGCTAGACATATGGTGGTCAGAAGTGGATGGATGGATATATGACGGTAGCATTCCGGATATCTCGACGTTTTATCTGAAGATATTTAGAATATATTATTGGGATAATTAGGCACGAGCGTATTTTGAGGAAAAACTGGAATGGTGAATGTACAAATATGCGGGTTACGAGAGCAGTTTTTTTTTGTTTGCATAATAGCCCTTCAGAATATAGCGAAAATGTGAATGGCATAATTTACAAACGCCAGAAGGTACCTCTACTTGAGATACACATGAAAATGTGACAGGGTGTCTGTGAAGGAGTGGCTTTCAGTTTTATAGCACAAAGGACTGGCATATTGTATAGGTATAGATAATTCATTTTTAAAATCGTAGATTCTTGTTTTAGAATCTAATATGCTCCACTTTTAGTAAAACTCCGTCCCCTACTCATTTTTACTTCCCACGCATCCTGGCGTGAAAGTATGACATGTAGGTACATCACGAAAAACAATTCCGTTGGTATGTCTGTCGGTCGGTGTATCCGAAAATTCTTGGCCCCTTGGAAATAACTGCTCGGATTTGAATGAAATAAGTACTCACACAAGATTACTACTTTCCCAAGGACGGAAAAGCTTTGTAATGTTTGAAAATCGGTCCAGTGGCGGCGGAGAAAATTTCCAAAAAAAATCGCACAAACTTTGTATATTTTAAGTTTTGCATATGGAAATAAAACAACACGGTAAGTAGTTTTAAATGACATTATTGTTTTTCGAAGTATTCTCCACGAAGATTAATATACATCTGCATCCGCACGAAAAAATTTTCGAAGCACTTATTCCACTCGTTTGCTGGCAGATCCAAAACGGCATTTTTGAATGTGTCAACTGCTTCTTCTGGTGACTGGAACCTTTGACCACGCAGTCTGTTTTTAATTTTCAGGAAAGTAAAGAAATCGTTAGGACTTAGATCGGGACTATATGGAGGATGGTCCAATAATTCCACGTTTTCTTCCGTTAAATACTGCCTTGTTTCTTGGGCTGTGTGCGAGATTGCATTGTCTTTTTGGAGGATGATTCTTCTTTCGGGGTTGATTTTTTCAAGCTCGCTGATGACTTTTGGCAAACAAATGATGGTATACCAATCCACACTAACAGTTCTTTGCTCATTGGGAGGAATTGTTGCAATATGACCCGCTTTTGACACAAATGTCGCGACCATCTTTTTCGAAACACTTCGAGAACGGATGACTTTTGTTGGCTTTTCTTCACCTTGGAACACTCAAACAGTCGACTGTCGATTATTTTCTGGTTCATAACAGTAAATCCACGATTCATCACCACTAACAATGCTGTACACTTTTTTTGGGTTTCCGGAATTGAAACGGTCAAGCGTTTTTTGACACCAATTAACCCTGGCTGCTTTCTGCTCTTCAGTCAACAGGTGGGGTATCCAACGAGAAACTAATTTTCTTACTCCTAATTCTTCATATAAAATTTGTTGAATTAAGGTCTTTGAGATCTTCAAGGACGCCTCAATCTCGCGATATGTCACGTGTCTATCTTCAATGATGAGCATGCGCACAGCATCGATGTTTTCCTAGGTGACTGCCGTTTTTGGTGCACCCACCCTGGGATCGTCGCTAAGACTCACCCGTCCACGTTTGAATTCTCCATACCAACGGGAAATTGTCGACTGATGTGGCGCTTCGTTGCCGAAAAGAGACAGTAACTCAGCAAGGCATTCTTGTTGCGATAATAGTCTCTGAAAGTTGTAATAAATTTTGGCGCGAAAATGTTCTCGCTTGAGTTCCATTTTTCTAATGACTTGGTGACACCTAAAAATTGACTGTAGTGAGAACACTGCACGTATTGTTGTGAAACTTTGAATTTAAGTTTACTAAAGAGTGAGGTTAAGTTCAGTACTGACGTTCGATCCGCGTGGTCTACTATGGTTCTACATATATGCAAAACTTAAAAGACATCCCTCGTATTGACGATTCAGAGGATCCTGATCATTTTTGAGAAAATTTTCTAGGGTACAAAATTAGGGGTTGTAGATGGGTGAGGAAGGTTGTATTGCAATTTTTGATGTTAGTACACTTCCAACCCCGGTACTTTTCTGAAACTATTAGACATATTTCACACGTCAGAGATTTCGCCGTATACTTGCTCTTAAAAGTTAAAAAAAATATTTTCGGCAGGCGGATCGCGTATGTCCTGTAGTTCATTGAATATTTAAATGGACGCTTTTGATGAAGACGACTTTGATGATTGGTTATATTATAGACTAACTACTTATAAGGGGTCTCAAACGGAGGTTTCACATGATCTCACATTCAATATAAGCATGTTCCAAGATGCCGCCCAGATTCCATCATGAAATTTTCAACTATAACTTTTACGTTAAAATATAGTATATGCATCAAATTATTTCACTCCGCAAGGGCGGATTTGATCATCGTGTAAAATTATGGTTTTTCACTTCTCTCCAGCTTCTATTGTTCACTTTCCTACTAGGGTCAAGAGCTACATTTAGGAAATAGCAGCGCCCCAGGACTTGGTTGAGCCAACTTGATATAAAGTTTGACAGAATTAAAAAAAGTGTCAACAAAATAGTTTTATTCTACAGCTTTTCTTTAGCAGTACAATGTTATATTTGTATATAATTTTATTTTTGTAAAAAAAAGTTTGTTAAAGTTAAGAATCTGTTAGTGATATTATTCACAGTCATCTACGAATATTTGTAACGTTATGCAATTGCAAGTAATTGTTTAAAAATTGCGTCCAAGGCTATTTTGATTTAGAAAGCTGACCCACTGATGTGACGATTATTGTACACAACAGGATTCGAGCGCTATTTGAATTTTAGTCGCATCACAATCAGTCATCATTAATACTAATCGTGGAAATAATATCTTAGATGACTCTATAAATACCAAATAAAACATCATTTTAAAAACAATTGTATCTGAATACGAGTTCAAACAACTAAATTTTCGAACACCTTTACATCTTGTCCAAATTGTCCTATATTCAAGGTTGTAAACTTGTACCGAAGACTTTTATTGGTAGTATGTATATACAAATTGTGACATATTTTCAATAGTTTTCCTTGAAAATTAATTTTAATGAAAAAAAAAACAAAATAAACTTCACAAAAATATATGGCAACTAAATATTCGGACACTACAAAATTTAACTTAACTAACCTTTAATATTTGTGAGGCAAAAATAGCAATCAGTAGTACGGTCTCTCGGTTCTCTCCAAACCATTGGTACGCAAAGGGCATTTTACGATTGTCGCCTTTTAACCAACCTGTTAACAACGTTATACAAGTCTGACAACATATATGAGGGGCCCGTAGCTTATCTTGGTCGCCAACTTTAATTCCACAATTAAGTTTGTGTGCTTTCAACACAAGGGGAGTAAAAGTACGTTTTTGGGATTTAAAAGTTAGCTCTCCGCACACATAACAAAAACTGTTCGCACTATTTACACAATTTCTAGGCATTGTCCATAAAGCTAGTCTCGATCACAATAAACTAAAAACAACACACTGTTTTAACAAAAATTAACAGTACTCAGAACATCTCAGTACTCTTCAATACAGAAAACTTAACTGACTCGGCTGCTATTACTCGACTAATAAACGCAATATGCTCTCTAAACATGGAGCTCGCATATAATAAACAGGAATAGACAGGTCTTGACATTATATATGTGCGTCGTCGCCTAAATGCCGAGAAATGCAGCAATATGATATGTTACGTATTGTAATTCATAAAAGTAGATGTTACCGAATATCTGTGGGTGATATAAAAATTCTGTTGTTTTAAGGGTCTCAAAATACATAAGATACACCCCAAAATTGCCATGTCACAAATCCTGTGTATATCTGTGTAATTTGCCTCATTTTCTGAGTAGTGCCTACACCTCATTATCATTTTTGCATACATGTAACTTGCAACAAGAAAATATAATTTCCGATACCTACAATTTCCAACGATGTTGGCATTCAGTATTGTGATACAGGTAGGCGTTCATATATTTTGCAAAACCTGCTAGTCTCTGCTTATCGCTAACGATATGTTTCTTGACATATCCGAACATTTAGTTGTCATCATATTTCGACATATTTGAGTGATTTTGTTTTAAAGTAATACGTTTGAAACTAGAGGTGCCGTTATTGAAAATAGATGTTTATTATACTTATCTACCATTGTACATTTTTGCCATACATTTTGAGAAAGCGGCAATTAATTTATGGATCCATTTGTACAAAATGTAAAGCTGTCCGAAAATTTGTTTGGGCTCGTAATATTTCATATTGATGACACCAACTATTGCAGAATGAAGATTTATATACTTGAGGATAAATGAAAACTTGTGGAGGTGATTTTTCCAACTTTGACATTAAGTGAAAAATGGCGTTAAGTACGTTGACTCTGCTCTTTCTTCACTATGTTGTTATTAATTCATAAAAGTGTATGTACTATACAAATTAGCCCCTTTGAGCTAGGAGCATGTATAACAAAGACATTAAACGGATCAAACCAGTCAAACATACCCATACAATTAAACCATAGAAAATTTTTACCGTGTAGTGGTTTAATGCTATTATTTGAGAAACGTTGAACTAGTCAACAGATATATGCATAGTAAATAATTAGGTGCGGTCTCTTACACTCAACACCACTTTGTAGCGCTGTAGCAGGTATGAAGCTATAAATTGCCTCTCAAGAATTTTTTTTTAAAAGTCTATTAGCATCATTGCGGCAACTTATTAAAACATTGTCATCACTAGCATATACACTACCTAAACGCAATTGCACTAACGCCCCATGGTATGTCTCCAATGAGACCCTTCACAGAGACCTTGACATCCCTTACCTAAAAGACTACATCAAATAACAAGCGCAGCTACGTTATAGTCAAGCGGAATCGCATAGCAACCCTTTGTTGCGCGAGTCAGTAGACTACACAGTCGAGCAAGTTCGCAAGCACACACGGTCGCGGCTCGCACTGTGAACAAAATTAAATCGTGCGACTAGGTCCAACCAAAATTATACTTTTTCTTCAATAACCAATCTCTCAGCTAATTTTAAAATTGCCGAATACTAGCAATGCCAAGGCACCTCTCAAATTGAAGCACTTCTTCCTTTGTCTTGTGTCTGGGTAGCCAGACCTAACAGACCTACTGACTTACAAGACTTTAACCAATAGAAAAGGTCCAAAGCAGGGTTGCTGGATTTTGATGTGCTGTCAGTAAGAGTAGGAATTATTAGATACAGAATATATGGGAAGGGACTTACAACAATGATTCTGTATCTCTTAATACACATCAACTGTGCAAAATGTTTTGATGGTAATAATTAAGCAATCTTGGTGGCAGTGATAGTAAATCAGAGGTTCAATAAATTACAACAACCACTAAAGTCAATTTTTTACCAACATCCTTTTTTACTGAAAACGTTTCAATACAGGTAGACGCGTATTCAGGGTGAGCACATTCCTTCACCTTTCTAATAACACCACGTAAGACCCCTTCAGTCCAGAAACATCGTAAGTCCAGGAATAACTACAAAAACAAAATTACCATACAGCCATTGATTCAATCCTTCTCATTTTTGTATGACTAAGATGGTCCGTTGAATGTAAGTTAAATATTTGAAATAGTTGTTCGCATAGATAGAATGAGGGAACTACACTCACAACACCTATCTTGCAATGTGAATTTTTTGAAGTTTAGAAGTAAAATGGGGAATTTTGTTTTCTCAGATGTTCGCTTTGTCACTCAAATACTGCATTAGGCCCAAAAACGTACTTTAAAACTGGTTTATCTGTCAATGGCACAGTTTTTATTGTATCCTGAAAAAATTAAATTATGGGACTTACGCGGTTTTTGCACGACCGATTCAATTACCTTTGACGGTTAGATAATGAAACCAATAATATTGTGAACCTTCGTGGCACAAAATTACTTGTATACCAATAATCCTAGAAAGCGATATTACTGACCACTTCTCCACTATTTTACTGATATCTTCAAATGAAAAGCATTCTAACATCCCTACCGTTAGTAACAACCAGGAAAATTACAAATTTTTTGTCGACAATTCAAAACTAATATCAAATGTCAAACAAGAATCCTGGGAACAATTATACTCTATAAATAATATAGACAAAGCAACGGGACTGTTCATAGAGAAAATAAAAAAACTAATAGATATTAGTACCAATAAAGTAATAATTAGTTACAAAGAGAAAAGCAGAAATGCCTGGATTACCAAAGGATTAATAACATCGGCAATAGAAAAAGAAAGACTATATAATGTAATGAAACTAACGCCAACTACAGAGAATACCGACTGCTACAACCAATATAAAAATAAATTTATAGAGCTTGTAAGGCAAACCAAACGAAAACATTACCTAAATAAATTGAATAATAACTTAAATGATCCTAAGCGGCTTTGGACAACTATTGATGAGATTACTGGGAAAACAAAAGTTGAAGAGTGTGTCACTGAGTTAAATACAACATCGGGAACAGTATTAAAAAATACTCAACAGATATGCGATGAATTTGTACAATTCTTTACTGACATAGGCGAAAATTTAGCAAGTAATATACAAGCAAATGTACAAAATACTCAGCCTCCAAAAAGAACTTTGAACTCATTTATTTTGGATAAAGTCGAGCAATGTGAAATATACACCACTGTTATGTCCTTAAAAAATCGGAAAAGTCCTGGGTTCGATGGTATTAAAGGCGAGCATTTGAAAATTATAGCCGAGGACATAACAGAAACACTCACTTACCTAATCAACAAATGCTTTGAATCTGGCATATATCCCTCAATTTTAAAAAAAGTTAATATAATACCGATACATAAATCAGGAACAAAAACAGATGTTAACAACTATAGACCAATATCAATAATATCCAGTGTAACAAAGGTTTTTGAAAAAGTTTTAACTACTAGAATGATTCGATACCTCACAAAATTCAAAATTTTAAGTGAAAATCAATATGGATTTACAGAAGGGAAGGCTACATCGGACGCAATAACTAAAATTGTAAATCAAATACATCAAAATATCGATGACAGAATCCATTCAATCTGCAGTTTTGTTGATTTAAAGAAAGCTTTCGACATAGTTAATCACAAATTATTATTAGAAGCATTGGAGAGAATTGGTTTCAGAGGAAACGCGTACTCACTGATCGAAAGTTATTTGTCAAATCGCCCACAATCTGTGCAGATATCAGGATCATTTAGTAAAGAAATGTATATTAAGTGTGGTGTCCCACAAGGAACTGTCTTAGGTCCGCTGTTATTCAATATATATTTAAATGATATTTTCCAAATTAATTGTGTTGGCAAAATAACTAGTTTTGCAGATGATACTGCAATATTATATGAAGGCACTGACTGGTCTGATCTAAACAATATAATTGAAAATGATTTTATCAAAATTATTCGGTGGTTTAACAGTAGAAAATTAAGCATTAACTACTCTAAAACACATTTTACAATTTGGATCTTATTCTAGACATCTGCCAAATTACACAAATTTCTCCTTCAATATTAATGATCAAAAAATGCAAATTAATAGAGTGCCCAACATAAAATACCTTGGAGTGGTCTTGGATCCTCACTTACGATGGGACATCCATGTCAATTATATTTTAAAGAAAGTTAGATTTGTATCCTACAAAATTAAATACCTTGGGAATATATTGACAGAAAAATATCTTCGAACATTATACCATGCACTGATTGAGCCTCATCTCACATATGGTATATTAGCATGGGGAGCTGCATGTTCCTCACATATCTATAATTTAGATGTTTTTCAAAAAAGTATTCTAAAAATGATATTTAAAAAACCGAAACTTTATCCCACTGAAAAATTATACGGAGATGTTTGAATGTATGATATAAGACAGCTTTATTTCTTGAATGAATGAATCTTGAATTTTAGAGGCATCCCGGCCACCATAAGGAGCCAGTGCATAGGCCGCTTAAGCGGGCCCTTATGCACCTCTACAATACTTAAATCACAAGCCTCGCCCTTTTAGCGAAGTTGAGAATCGCCTTGAGTCCAAGCTCCTTTACGTCCTGAGGGTCCAAAGTAATGGACCCCAGTATAGTCTGCCTATAGTAGCTCAGAGCTTCACAGCGACACAAAACGTGCGCCGAGGTCTCTTCCTCTACTCCGCAGCGTTCGCATAAGGGATCCTCAGCCACCCCCATCACGTGCAGGTGCCGCCTTAACGTGTTATGGCCAGACAACAGTCCCACCAGCAACCTTCTCACTACCATAAATTTGTAAACACCGACCAAAAAATTAAACATAATCATTATACCAGGTACAAAATTCGTGGCACAGTAGTTCCTCAACCTCATAAATCTATAATGCAGCGATCATATCTCTATTTAGCGCCTAAATTTTATGAAATTATACCTAAAGACTTAAAAGATTTACGTTTCGGAAATTGTTTCATAAGAAATTTAAAAAAGTGGCTACATTCTATATCTAGGACTGAAATTCATAAACTCATAAATACGAACATCAACTAAATACATAATCTACTGTAGCTAATTTTTGTCCTTTTTTGTCATTTGCATTCTACAGTTTCAACTTAAATTTATTGGTCCATGTACAGGCGATGCCTTCTATTGGGCCTGTTTTGATTTTATATTTATTTACTCATATTGTTTGTTATCTTTGTACATTGAGTGAATAAATATTATTATTATTATTATTACTTATCGAGAAGCTATAATGTTAGCTCTCAACATTTTTGAATGGTCGTTGAAGATTAGAATTTTGATTCTCATTCGGCTGATTTATCCTTAAAGCACTGTACACTACCATGGACACTAGAAAGGTCACTTGAACATGGGTATATTCCTGCATTTTAGGCACACTGTCACTAAAAGTAATAACGGAGCTCATCGATGAGTGGGAAATACGGGATTTACGCGAATAATTCTGTGGCTTCCAGCCGACGTTGTCTTCGATGCTGGTCATGAGGGCAACCCTCCCGAATAAAAGACAATATTTGACTGAAGGCACATTAACTGTGTAAAATGTTTTAATAGTAACAATTGGACAATATTGAGCTGAATTGCATTAAGGAATCTCAACTGGTTAAACTAACATACACACACAGGCAGAGGCAGAGACACTAATAGCTGCACACACTAATAGTAATTGTCGCTAATAGGGAAAAATTGGGTAAATTGATAAATTCACTTATGGCCGATTGAGCCACTACAACACACACCGTTTATATTCAAGTATCTTCTCATTGGAGTATATTGTTTATTAAATGCCTTAATTGACATAATATATCTGTTAATTTCCTTAATTCGGCCAGTTTAGCGTTTGCTTCCATAGGGGTTGTTGCTACACCTAACCTGAAAGTGTTGTGTCGCAAGATTGGCCAAGTTACGTGCGATGTTTCGTGTGTGCTATTACCAGTGAATATGGATATAGTTCAGCCATCCAAGGACGAAATATTTGACCCCGGAGCTTGGTTATTCATCATGACTGATGAGCAGTATGTAAGTACAAGTCATTTATAAACGGTCTCAAATCAAAATTATTTTTGGAACAATTAATTACTTAAGTAGTAACAACCAAAAATGCTTTTGCTTTTCCGAATTTTTCCGATTCACTTCTTTACTTTGCTCTATTCTCTCTTTTCTTTTCTTATTTCCCTTTCCTCCTTGAAGTTGTCTTGTATCGTTTAAGAAAAGCATACCGGATTGCTCTGATAAACAACGACGAATAGTAGTAACTCAGAAAGTTTGAGAGCAGAAAGAAGATTTGCTGTGCAAAGTTCAAGCTATTTCTCGATAATAACAATAAGAAAGAAATTAAACATAGCTTTGATCAATAAAGAATATAGCATAAAGAATAGACTAGAGGCAAAGATACAACTTCAATGATATCCAGGGTGATAGTTGATTTCTAGGCGATACGTCCACGTTTTTGTTATAATAAGTAGCTAGCGAGTTAGAATCTTGTTCCTGGTACGAAAAATAAGACTGCATAGATTATTCTTAATTACGACTCGGATTTCGTGGAAATCCATAGAAAAATCTGAGATATATTGTTTCATATATTTTTTTCACGATGGATCACCAGAGAAAAATCGTGTGATTCTCGTTCAAATAACGAAATCGTAATGATTATTCAAATTTCATAATATGTACGAAACGAATTTTGGCTAATTTATTGGGGATGTAGATGTATATAGATGTCTATATCTATCATGTGTCAAAAAATTTTTCGCGGGCAGTTTTCAAAATACAGCGCTACAATGTTCGAATCTTATACAGGGTGTCCCAGAAATAACACGCTAGATTGACACGGGAGGTAGATTGGCTTCAGATCAACCACTTAAAATCATCATGACCTCGGTAAAGGTTTTCTAGTGTTCGAAACATTGTCACTTCTAAATTTTTTCAAAAATATCCATACTTTCTGCTGCTTTTTTTGCCTGTTATGGCTATAGTCTTATCATATTTAGACGACAATACCTCTGGTTTGCGAAATAATTGTAAAGGCTGGTTTTATTGTTGCAAAGTTGTTCAAGGGGGTATTCAAAATGTGGACGCATAAAATGGGTTCACCAATGTTGGTGGGAAAACTTTTTATTCGACAACAAAGAATGAGACTACACGTGAAAAGATCCGACTAATATCTAAAAAGTTATAGCCGAAAACCGAGGAAAACTGCAGGTTTTGGCACTTGATGGTAATGCGATGATGGTTTCTCGCAAATATTTGAAATTCTTCAAATTCGTACGATTTGTACTTCTCGATAACCACAACAAAATTAGAGTAGATTGGTCAAGTAGTTTTTGCTTATCCCAAAACACTAGTTCTACGGCCATCACTACTAGTTTATTGAGCAATATACAAGGTTAGTTAAAAGGGCATTTTATAGCAAAATACATTAGTTTACCTTGCCGATATGAATCACAAATCATTCCGAAAGATAAATATTATTTTTAGGCGTAAAACAAAGGTTACGTTTTTTTCTTCTAAACAAATTCAAACATTTCGTATTTGTGAGTAATTCGTAACAAAATATGATAGATAGATAAATGTGTATAGTATCGTATGTTTTTCGAATATCATAGCGCATTTGTTCAATTACTCAAAATACGAAATGCTTGAATTTGTTAAAAAAAAAACGTAACACGTGTATTTAGCTATAAAATGCCCTTTGAACTGGCCCTGTATATTGCTCAATAAACTAGTAGTGATGGCCGGAAAACAGGTGTTTTGGGATAAACGATTAGAAATTCTCAAAAAACTACTCGACCAATATACTCCGATTTTGTTGTTGTTATTTAGAAGTATGAATCCTACGGATTTGAATAATTTCAAGTAGTTGCGTGAAATTATCGTCGCATTAGCAACAAGTGCCAAAACCTAGATTTTGCCTCGTTTTTCGGCCATAACATTTTTGCTATTAGTCAGATCTTTTTACGTGTAGTCTCATTTGTAGGTCTCATAAATACCTAAAAATCTTACATGTCTTTTCGTACTTGTCAACACTTTCGATTGAATCCCAAGAAACGCGTTTTCTCAATCTTTGTTATCAAATAAAAAGTTATCCCCCTTGAACAACTTGCACCAATAAAACCAGACTTTACAATTATGTAGGGGAAAGTTGCTAATATGATTAGACTACTAGAAAGAAGTTCTATGTTATGATTTTTTTTCTGGGCTACCATTGGTTGAGACAACTGAGTATTATATATCATTGGAGACTAGCAAGATATGCTAAAAGTTATTTGGATACAAAAGACAGCGGTACTCGTTTTTCATTTGTAGTGTTTCGCAAGTATTACGACTTCAATGACCAAACTTGGAATTATTCAATTTTTAGTACAAAGAACCTTTGAATGTTATACGATTTTAAATAGGCTAGTTTTTAAGATCATTTTCCGATTCAGTCTGCTACATTTTTTTCACAGTAACTAGTCAATCTTAGTAAAGGCCTGCACATTGAAACAAAATGTAATAATCCTTTTTTTTTAGCATAACGTGCTAGTTTTGCAATGAAATTAATACTCGGTTGTTTCAACCAACTATTAATGATTGCTCATGAAAAAAAATTAAAAGTTAGAAGTTCTTCATAGCCATAACTGCCAAAAAAGGAGCAAAAAGTGGGGATTTTTTCAAAAAACTTAAAAGTGACAATATCTCCAAAAACTAGAAAACTTTTACTGAGATCATGCTAATTTTATTTGATTGATCTGAAGCCAATCTACCTCCCGTGTCAGTCTGGTGTGTTATTTCTGGGACACCCTGTATATAATATACCATGCACGAAACATTTCTTTTCAACTACTGTTTAGTAAGTACAGTTCAACAAAATTTAAGTTTGAGTTGATACATATACATATTACATGTTACCTTTAACGTACGAATTGATTTAAAATATACAGGGCGTTTAAACGAAAATCAGAAGTTGTTTTATGAAAAACAAACGTATTCAGGAATGGTTCTCACAAGATAATTGTAATGTTACACGTAACATTCAAAACTAGTCATGGGTTGTACTATAATAAGGTTTGTCATTTGCATCAGTGCTTCTGAAATCAAATGTAACAAAATTGTCCATTGTGTAGTCACCCAAATCAATTCGTCGCCCGCCAATTTCCTTTGAGAATTTTGAGAAACGCTGTTTTAAATAATTTGAATTTTAAAAATTTAATTGTTAATATCGGGCTGTGGGCGTCACGCAGCTTCCACATGCTAAAGGAACAAACAATTCAAACACTTGGCCAATACTTCAATAATAATTTTTAACCGAGTTTTTCAGCAACTAAAATTGCCGGAGCGAAAATACCAATTATTTATAGATATTTTAAAAGAAATGGTCTAGGAGATTTGAACCGGGTTCACAAGCGGGACACAAGCCTTGTGGAGGTAGATGTTTCCAGCGGTAAGTATTATTATTATGCTGACACAACGCTGTCACTTTGGTAGACATTGGTAGACGAATGAGTCAAAAGTATGCACTTTTGGCGATATGCAATGCAATGTAAGCATATAGGCTTTTCTACATCTAACCTAATCGAATTCATTGTTTCCAATCCTTTCTAGGTCATTGAATTACTCAAGGCTACATGACGATCTATATCTATACTAAGTGACATATAAATCCGAACACCCAGTTTAAATTGTTTTATTTTAATAAAAGTTGGTGAATGTATTTATCTTACTGTAAATAACTAGTGAAAAAATTTTCAGCCTTATCAGTTGGACATTCCGGTTTTTATACTGCTTTTTTTTTTAATTCACTAACGCTCTAAAAATGAATATTTCAGCCGCAGTAAAGAATCAACGTTGGCGGGTTTTGGTTCTTGACATCCTTTACGATCGGCTACGATGCCTAGAGTACGGAGACCTGTACGATTTCGTCAACTTAGTGAGTCTGATAGGGGCCGTATAGTGGGACTTCGGGAAGCTGGACTTTCTTTTCGGGCAATTGCAGTTAGAGTGCAAAGAAGTGTAGAAGTGTGGTTAGGTGTTGTCAGGCATTGCTTCGAGAAGGCCGTACGCAAAGAGCAAGGGGCACTGGACGCCGCCGTAGAACAACAGACCTTGAAGATCGCCGCCTAAGATTATTGGCCTTAAGGGACCGTTTCTCCACTACCAGGTCCATTGCAAATGAATGGTTTGCAGAACACGGAAGACCTATTGGCATGCGAAGTGTTTACCGACGAATGAGAAGTTTTGGCTTGTTTTCATACCGGCCACACTGGGTCCTCCCTTTAACTCGAGTACACCGACGTAATCGCCTTGAGTGGTGCAGACAACGGTCACTCTGGGATCAGGAATGGAACAGTATTGTCTTTAGTGACGAGTCTCGATTTTGTTTAGGCATGCACGATGGTCGTGCCAGGGTTAGAAGGCGACGTGGTGAAAGGAGGAATCCACAGACATGTTCATCACACTGTTGGAGTTATGGTTTGGGGTGCTATAGCTTATGGTTCCAGGTCACCTTCAACATAATGATGTCACATTGTTACCATGGCCACCAAGATCTCCCGACTTATCCCCAATTGAGCACGTGTGGGATATGATGGGTAGGAGATTGCTCAATTTGCAACGTCCTCCTCAGACTCTAGAAGCACTTCGAGAGGAGTTGGTGGTTGCGTGGAATGAGATAGCACAGGAGGACATTGACCACCTGATCAGAAGAATGCCTAGGCGCGTTGAAGAATGCGTAGCACATCAGGGTGCATCCACACATTATTAAAGGTCAAAAGGCTTTAAAGCAGTGCAATCATTTTGAATTTTTTATCATTTACTTATTATGCTTCATTAAGTACTTATACAAAATTTTATTAAAATAAAACTATTTAAACTGGGTGTTCGGATTTATATGTCAATTAGAATAATATTAGTTATGATTTACTTGTTTTCAAATATTTCGAATTACACAGTTTAGCTTTTAGACTGTCACTGTCATGAGGGAGTTAGGGAGTTCATGTCCAAACCATCCCAAAAAAGGAATCTAAGGCCGACCTTCACAA